GCGTTGTTAGAATGTGTAGTTGACAAAAGTAGTTTACTGGAATTAACTATTTTCTGACAAGCTACTCAAGTAAGTTCTCTTGACAAAGTAGGGGCCAACGCGTAAGTAAGTGCAAACGCAGGAAATGGTTTCGTCTTGGATAAACTTACGAATCGGACATCTTGTCATGCACATTTGTCTTCATGACCGACTGGCCAAATATCCAGTCCATCCTATGGCTAGTTAATTAACGTGAGAAATAATGATAAATTATCATTGATTGCAAGAGAAATTCACTGATATGGCGTACTTGCATCTGTTATTGGTCACGCTATGCAGTATTGTGAGGCAGTCAGTATGTCGAAATCCAGTTTATCTGTGTTATCCACATAAGCCACCCTTCAAATAGGCTTTCGTTTTATTGTTTTTCCATTTAATGAACAAAATTCGTTTTTCTCCTAACAAAGTTAACGGGTTCGTCTGAAAATCCTCCCAATGACACCCAGCATACCAAAAGCTTGCAGCTTTTCCTAGGAGCACAGTATATGCGGATCACCCCCAGCAGATTCATTCAGGTATTATTTCAAAGGACGCCCTTTGAGGAATTCGTTTCATAGGAGAAGTTTCGTCAAAGGCAAAGGATATCGGATGATGAGTCCTGGTTTATCAACTGTCGTCAACTAGTTTTGTCCAACCCTAGATCGGTAGCATCTGAGAATTGGAATCACGCGCCTGAGCGCTAATTAGTCTGCCATCATCATTAGCCTACATAGATGTTTTCAGTTGCTGCCGGGAACATGTGCGGTGGCGAAAGAGAGTGCTCCTATATAGTTTCTTGTTGCCATGTGACTGACGGCGGCTGCTCTAGGTCAATCCACGTAATCTGATCCGTGAACACGCTTCCACAACAATACGTTCTCTGCTTCTTTCTATTTGGTTTCTTGGCTACTTTCATGCAAATTCCACATAAATAGGAAGCTTAATCACGTGGAAAAGGAAAAAAAGAAAATGAATCGAGCTTTCTTATTCCTTACTGATGTCACCTATAGGCCCTCTAAAAAGCACATCTTCACCCCTGAGCATAATATTTGCCCCACCCATGCCTCATTCAGACAGATTGAAAAGCTGACACGGTTTTTATACGAATCTAGCGAGATATTAAGCGAATACCTTCTTACTCGGTGCACTTTAATGTCCGACTTGGCGAAACTGTGTTTAATGTATTTTGACCTCATCCTACTTCGAAGGTTTGACTGAAGGTCATGCACTTATAGGACATTTAGAATAACATTTGCACTTTGCACAAGCCAATACAGAGTCTAACATTTGGAAACATTAAGTAGGAGTTGGAATTCCTGATGGCCATACCTACAATCCCCGTTCACTACTATCATCTGATAAAATCACCGAGGTTATTCTAAATGTGTTACGTTATTAGTTAAGTTACTTCTGACACTACAAATTAGACCTCTCTGTTGCCTAGGCATGAACGTACCTCCAAAGCTTTTTTATGCCAGGTAGCTCCGATTAAAATAAAGAATAAAAATCACGCTTACCTCCGTCACCATAAGTCTCCACGCCAAAGGCAGGCAGTCCGTTCTCAAAACGACCCTCGAAACGCGCCGCAGTATTCTCCTTACCCTTGACGCCGATGGTTATGAAATCATCTACAAATTTTCCCATGATGGCCCAATCCTCACGATTGAAGACGCCGAAGCCGTTTCTTCGATTGGAGGCCCATTCACCTTCGTACATCGCACCCGGAGCGTTTGGCCACAGGAAGACTCCCGATTTCTCCGACCCGGCCTCCCATAATCCCGTGTACTCTCCTTGGGACTTGTCCTTTGTAATGAGTCCCAACCCGACAGCCTTCTCATCCAACCACTCTCCAATATAAATTCCAGAGTCTTTAAATTCGTATCTTCCCGCAGGAAGATAGACGGGCTTGTTTGGTGACGATGGGGGCTGCGCTTCCTTTGCTGTCGCTTCACTTGCTGCCATCGCGGACATTGCATATTACATGTCCAGATGCACAGACGCTCTTTCAAGCGAATGCCTGCTGGCGCACGTACGAACGAAGGGGAGTAACTTCCAGCGAAAAGTGGAGGATTTGAAAAAAGAAAAAGAAGTCGCCGAGGCACTGTCACTGTCGC